GAATACTCCTTAACCCAGTTATTTGGACAAGAGAGGGTGTCCTTTTAATTGGCTTGCTAAAACAGCCACTATCTTGGAACAAGATGTTAATTAAAATTAAATAAAAAGCCTTGGTGAATCCCATTTTAGGAAGGGGGTGACATTACTTAACAACACAGCAAAACAGAACTGGGCATCCTAATGAGCCTTGGAGAACTCTCAGGCTACCATGTGGAAGACAGAAAGGCATGGGAAGAAAATAAGAATGCACAATGCAGCAATGAAGAAAAGACCTGCACATGCAGCTTTGAGTTTAAAACAGACAGATTTGTTATTGGTATATATCACTCTCAGGACTACTGATAGGGTCTTTTCCAGCTTATGGTTACACTAAGGCAGCGTTTCTCAACCTGGGGATCGGGATCCCTGGGGGGGTCACAAGGGAGGTTCAGAGGGTCGCCAAAGACCATCAGAAAACACAGTATTTTCTGTTGGTCCTGGGAGTTCTGTGTGGGAAGTTTGGCCCAATTCTATCATTGGTGAGGTTCAGAATGCTCTTTGATTGTAGGTGAACTATAAATCCCAGCAACTACAACTCTCAAAGGACACAATCAATCCCCCCCCAACCCCACCAGTATTCAAATTTGGGCATATTGGGTATTTGTCTCATATTTGGTCCAGTGGAATGGAAATACATCCTGCATACATCCTTCATCTGGACCACGCTGAACATCATGGAAGAAAATCTTATAAAGATTAGATATACACCTCTTCTAAAATGGTAGCCATTGTAGCATTTTCCAGTTTACTTCAAGCCTACTCTGCATTTTATTGTATCTTCTCAATTTTAATGCTGGGATATTGTAAACTGTTTTTATATCAATATCTTTAAAATATCTTCAAAGAATATGAAGAAAGAATACAGAATATTTAGAGGCAATTTAAATTAAAAGCCAAGCTATCCAAAATGCTATGGTTTTATGTGAGGCATTGTGTTTAAAGATAACTACTAATGCCCATTTCAGTGCAATCTCCTCTTTTTTTCTCTCAGCAGTTAAAGACTGGTGCCACAATTCTGGTGTGTGTTTTTAAAATTCTGGGCAGAAAAACTGCCTGGTTTTTAAGGCACTGAGTAGCACAGTTTAATTATAAACATTTTAACTAACCAGTCTGGTGCTAAGCCAATCTGTTTCTGGGGAAACACTGGTTTTGAAGTCTTCTTTCCAGTCAGCTGCCATTTAAGCTGAGCCAATTATCTTAGCCTTTTGACTTAGATGTGCCTGACCTAACCTGAATGTAGTTTCACTGCTTCTTTTGAAATATCAGACTCATGCACATATGCATTCACTCCCATCTTCATTTGGCAATGGCTCTGAAACGGAGCCTGTGATCTTGCCAACATCAAAAGCCTGGTTTGTAAGATAAGGTAATATTTGAAGTTCGCTCAGCAGTATTCCCCTGTGTCCAAAGTAAATCCATAAATAAGATATAACCAAATAATAAAAGTCCCCTTTCGTCTCTCTTTCTTTTTCTCTCCTTCCTTCCAATCAGGAAATGGAAATTTACATTTTCCCAATGCTTTGTGGCCAACACCAAAAAGGAGAGAGATTAAACAACAAAAACAAATCCACAACATTGACCCTTGGGGTTAAATCTGAATTCAGAAGAGGAAAGCATAGATTTTTATTCAAGGAAATCCACCTGGGGCTGCCATGAGAACAGACCAGATCATAACTGGCTTCTGAAGTCTTTCTGTCCCTTGATTTGTACCCAGCACACAGCCATTGTGCACATGTATTCATGTGTGTATGTACACACACATACGCAATCTGGCCGTTAAATCGCTCCAGCAAAGAGTCGTGATGTCGTGGCCTAGCATCAAAGGTGGCAAATCCATCACAGCAGCCACCCATTTCACTCTACTCCCCATCTGCCTCTCCCCCACACACATCTGCTGCCCCTCGCCAACCTCACAACAAAACTTTGGAGAACAACCAACATATTCACCCCTCCCACGATTACTCAAGTTTCCCTTCCAGACGCCCACGGCCAAGAAGAAAATTCAAACGCAAAACCTTGGCCCACGTGTTGGTGTTCCTCCAATGCCAACAGCTGCTAGAGCAGATCAACATGCTTTTGATTTTAAGAGTTTGGAGCATTTAGCCACGAAGCACCCAAAAAAAGGGGGGACTGGGTCTTATGGACTGGCACACATACATGAATACACACATGCACAACTTTGGGAATGCTTCTCTCCTGACCAGACTACAGGAAATTCAAACATTTCTAAAGGCTTCAAGAGGGGCGGGAGAAAGGGAGATGGGAAGTTTAGGATCAGCTTGCAGCAGGAACCTATTTAAACGTCTCTGAGTTTGGGGCGGCTGCTCTCTAAAGCTACATAGCCCTTCTGGGTTCTATAGAAATCCATGCTGCACCCCGCAACCCCTCCCCATATCTTGAAGCTCCCAGCAGTTTAATCAGGCAAGCTTCCCCTGCTCCTCACAGCCTGTACCGGCTATTGTTATGGCAGGAAAAAACAGCCAGGCCCCTTTCATGCCTGGCTTTAAGGGGAGCTCCTATTCACTTGTTCAAGTAAATTTCAAAGCGGCCTGCTACCCTCTTATCCCCTCTAAGCTCCCCTAGACTAACAATAGGCTGAAAGCGATTCAGTTAAGCCTTTCATCCACCATGCACTTTATTTCTCACTCAGTGCTCTCATCTGTGTAAGGCCCTACAATTGGCATTGCTGTGAAGAGAGGGTATAATCCCAGCCCGGCGTGTCCCAAGTGACCCAACACTGGTCCAGAAATGACTAACTCAAATGAATGCTCTGTTGACACATGAGCACATACAGACCCTACCACAGCTAGGCAAGATAAATTCAAACAGGGATGCAATTTAACCATACACACACAAAATCATCAAATGTCAATTCCGTGCCATGGTCAAGAAGAAGTTGCTTTTCCAAAATAATTTTTGAAAATCCAATTACAGCTACAACTCCCCTGTACACATTTGACAACAAAAATAAGGTGACTCCACCCAGGGACTATTTTTTAATATAGGTATTTTCATGAAGGGCATGTATGAATGGAAGGATTACCGAATTTGGAGATATGTTTCCCACAGTAGATGTCAAGACCACCATTAGTATACAAGCAACCTCTGATACTTTTTTGTTTGGATTAACTGCCTGATTCATGCAAGTATTGCAAATAGAACCCAAAAGAAAGGCTTCAGTATCTGTGTTCTGTTGCTGTAATTCCTTCGACTCATTTCTGACTTATGACAATCCTAAGGCAAACTTATCACATTTTTGGCATGATTTATTCAGAAGGTTTGCCTTTGCCTTCCTCCGATGCACAGTCATCCAGTGGCTTTCCATGATAGAGCAGACCTAGCTTCTACAAGCCTAGCTTCTACAAGCAGAGTACAATACTCAAATCACAAATCACCCAGTGGTTTTCCATGATAGAGCAAAGATTTGAACCCTGGCCTCTACAAGCAGAGTACAATACTCAAATCACAAATTCTTTGAGTATGACCACTGGAAGCTGAGCACAGAATCATATTGGAAGGCCTAGAGCAGGGGTCTTCAAACTTTTTAAACAGAGGGCCAGGTCACAGTCCCTCAAATTGTTGGAGGGTCAGATTATAGTTTAGGGGAAAAAAGAATGAATTCCTATGCACACTGCACATATCTTATTTGTAGTGCAAAAACACCTTAAAACAATACAATAATTAAAATGAAGAACAATTTTAACAAATATAAATTTATTAGTATTTCAATGGGAAGTGTGGGCCTGCTTTTGGCTGATGAGATAGGATTGTTATTGTTTGTTGTGTGCTTTCAAGTCATTTCAGACTTAGGTTGACCCTGAGCGAGGGCCAGGTAAATGACCTTGAAGGGCCGTATCCGGCAATCGGGCCTTAGTTTGAGGACCCCTGGCCTAGAGATTCAACAAAGGTGTTCTCTCTAAAATGCCTCCAGTCTGGAGGAGGTTGACCATAATGTTACAGTGGAGGACCAAGCAATAACATTTTGAATCAGACATGTGGATAATCAAATCTGGAAATGTCAAAACTGCAAATGGTGAGGTGCAACTATACATAGTTCGGGATTCCACAGGATGCAGCCATGGCGGTTAATGTGGAATCACAGTGCTGTAACTGTACAAACTTAGGTGACAAAGGTTATATAGAGCTTTGACCAAGAAAGGTTTTATTTTAAAACTAGCAGTCCCCCGCCACGCGTTGCTGTGACCCAGTTGGTGTATATGTGTTTTGTGTGTGTATATATGTGTGTGTGTGTATATGTGTGTGTGTGTTGCTTTGTGCATGTGTTGTAATGTATTTTTAATTTTGGCTTTTTAAGTCTCTTCAACTGTGTAATTCAGGGGTTTTATGGGTGATGGTCACTCGTTGGCCTGAGAGGTGTCTTGTGTCCAAATTTGGTATCAATTCGCCCAGTGGTTTTTGAGTTATGTTAATCCCACAAACGAACATTACATTTTTATTTATATAGATTGTATCCCTTCAATCAAAGACCAGGTAAGTTTGCATGACAGGGAAGTTTGCTCCCTTCTTCTACAGACAGTCATTAAAATAACGCTTGCAAGCAGAATTTCACAAAGTCTCCGCTTGCGGAAGGGACTTCACTGGATCTGGCACAAGTGGGCCATTCACTCTTCAGGTTAATAACACCCTGAAGTTAAGCAGTAACTATGGGAAAGCACTTCCTAGAGGAAGCAATTTCTTTTTATGGCTGTTAATTAGATAATAATAGTACACCTAGTTCTAAACACAAAAGCTGAGTCAAAGCTGTGGACATCGGAACAAGGTTATGGATGTTTTCCATGGGTTACAGGCCGTATTCCTAGGGCCCACTATAAACAGCAATTAAAGTGCATCAAAATATGTGCTATGACAGCAGACCTTTAACAGGTCTCAAAGCAGAAATAATACCAAGCCCATCCCTTTAAAACTCCAGGATTATTTATTCATTGGAAGGAAATACTTACACACTGCTATCCGTCATAGACACGGAATCATCAGTCAGAGCATCACTAGATATTTCACTATCATTTGCACTAGTGGCAGGAGCAAAGACGTAACCAGAGTTCACATGGTAAGGGTTAACAGGATCGTTCCTCTTGAAGGACCTGTGTACGAACAAAAAATAGGAAGCCCATTAGTCTTCAAATGCAGGAAATGGACAAATTAAAAGAGCAAGAAGACAGTTACATAAGGACACACAAGTCAGATGGCCTGACTAACATTCCCAGTCCTTGATAGTAAGCCTTATTGGTTTCAGTGAAGCTCTTGGGTGTGAGAAATGTCTAAGATGCCTAAGCCTAAGTTTATCTCTTTACAAATAAACCATAGCCAGCTAATTTCACAGGTAGGTCTGCCCCAATTCCTCAATGGTGGTGGGGAACATGTGTGTCTGCTTCAACTATGGTTGGACTCTGCTCCCATATCCAGCAGAATTAACGGTCAAAGGTGAGACTTACTATCCTGATTTGGCAGGGACACTTCTGAGGAACCTTCCTTCACCCCACTTTTTCAGCTGCTTAAAAATTTGGAGTTTCCTCCCACTTTCCCCTATGTCTTCAGCTTGCAAACCGAGTTCAAACTGCTAAATAATTTAACTTGATAGCGAAGGAAGCTTGTCCTTCCCATTAGACACAAACACAAGCAAACTGCTGCAATTTCTCCTAGCTTCATATTCTCCCTAATTAATACATTTTGCCTTCTTGGCCACACATATTGAATTTTTAATATATGTGGGGAAAATTGCAACCCAACAACATCTGAAAGACCAAATGTTCCCTGTCCCAGCTCTGTTGCCTCACAGGCTATTTTAAAGTCACTAACTATTTACTGGCAGTCTCCGGGTTACAAACATCCAACTTACAAATGACTCGTAGTTAAGAACAGGAAGTGAGAGAAATCTACCTCTCAGAAGGAAAATTCACTCCTAGAAGAGTTATTATGCCGGAAAGGTGTCTCCACTGATGCTTTCTCACCAATCCTTGTTTCCATAAGAAACATTTTTTTTCAAAATCCAATTATCACAGGGACAGAAAGTGAAGTGAAATCCTCTGAACAGGGACATAGACAGCAAAACAAATGCCACAGGGGTGTTAACCCTTCCCTATGCTATTCAAAGATAGATAGATAAGATAGATATGGCTGGAGCCTATTCTTTTTAAATCATCCTGCTTCTCAGAAGTTCAGGATAGCAAATCTGGAGTGCCACATCATTTCTTATTTAATCTCACAACAGCACTGTGAGGTAGGCAAAATTGAGGATGAGATAGCCCAAGTCATGGATAGGACATCAACTTTTCTTTTCCACAGGCCTGTTCTCCAAAACACTACACTTAGGATTTGGAACTGCCTGCCAAAAAAAAGGGCAAACTGCCCCCTTCCTCTCTTGTTCTTGTGCAAGCAGGTAAAGATCCTTTAATTTGGAATAATAATAATAAAACTTTATTTAAATCCCGCCCTGTCTCCCCGAGGGAACTCAGGGCCCCTTTGAGGCCTTTAAGCTGGTAGTAGCTCAAGGCACATTATCTTTTGGTTGTGTTTGAATTGTGCTTTTAACTGAATTGTTCACATTTTAATTGTAATGTGTTTATATTTGGATGTAGCACCTTGAGCGCCATTTCTTGTGTCATAAAGACAAGGCATATATTTAATAAACAAATGAAAGACTGTGCAAGACTCGAGGTGCTGGGAGAAAAGCTGCATTGCAAAGCTACTTCAGGACAAGCATCTTCATCATTTTCTTTTTAATGCAACCTTCTTTCTCTGTACACAGAAGTAAATCCCCATCAACCTTTTTGGAGCTTTCTCCCAGCTGAGTCATGCAGTGGGGGTGGTGGGACTGCAAAGAACATCAGTCATGATAGGGAACACGAGGCCACTATTTCACATACTACATTTTAAAGCAGCTTCATCTAGAAATATATGTTTGGATCCACAAAAATGACATTGCAGTGAATGAAGGTCAAGCCCCTTTTCTACCTATGGTATTCCAGATATTCACCAGACTGCAGCTCCCATCTGCCCTTACTGCTGGTTATGCTCACAATGTTGCAATCCAACAATATTTGGAGGTCACATTGCCCCCACCCCCACCCTAAAACATGCCACTGTATACATAAAACATGCTCAACAGGGGTTCTCTTGCCAGACTTTCCTTCAAAACCGCAAAGAAAACTAACCAAACCCGATTCCCTAACATGTGTGCTCTATTGCCTACACTTCCACTTAAGATTTCTGTCTAAACCAGTGGTTCTCAACCTGTGAGTCCCCAGATGTTTTAGCCTTCAACTCCCAGAAATCCTAACAGCTGGTAAACAGGCTGGAATTTCTGGGAGTTGTAGGCCAAAAACATCTTGGGACCCCAGGTTGAGAACCACTGGTCTAAACATTCAACAAATATTCCCACATTTTGGACCCCCATTTGGATGTCTCTTTATTCCTGCATCTACAGCAGATGTTGGGATGATGTATTCCCTCATATATGGCTGGACCACAAATCCTAGCAGCCTTCACCAGAACAACTAAGGGTGGCAGTTCAATCACCTCTAGTGGACCACATGAAACAGACAAGACTTTGGATAGATAAACACAATTTAAAACACAAGTTAAAGGTCCTGGAGCAGAACCTCAACCATGAACTCAACAAGGAACCTTAAAGGCATATGACTTTCTGTTATGCCCTTCATCCATAATACAAGAATAATTACATTGGACTACTTTACAAGGCTTCCATAAAGACTAAAGCAGTGGAAAACTTTTGGCCCTCCAGATACTGATGAACTACTACTCCCTCTATGCCTTACAATTGGTAAGACTGGCTAGTACTGATGGGAACTGGTGTCTAGTGACACCTGGAAGGCCGCAGGTTCCCAACCTTGGACTAGAGTGAAATATATAAAAGTAGCAACTGCTAAATCCTATTAAGTGCCTGCAGTATTCTGGCATTGTTTCCAGACCTCCATTTAAAAGGCTTTAAGCTTGCCAAACTGATAGATGTGTAAGGAACTCCCCAAGGGTCTATTCCGATCTCTCAAATTAATTTGAGAGGCATCAGATTTCAAATGATACTCTCCCCTCTGCAAAAAGACAGAGAGATGACTCTGTGCCCACAAGGCACTGCATAAGAAACAACAAAAGACCAGATAACGGGAGATCAGTCTTTTTTCAACCAAACCTCTAGGGTTAGGCAGGATCAAAGCAATAGCGAAACATTAGAAATGAAAAACTGCCAATGTGCTATTTCAGCTACATTGGTCCAACCACAGGGCTTCCAACATCTATTCCTTCTTTATTGTGTCGGATCAACAGGACAGCACTAGCTTGAGTGACACCAGTCTTGTATTATTCTGGATATTGTTGCCATGCAGGCCTATCTTATAAAGGAGGAATAACAGGAGAAACAGGAGGAATGGATGTGCCACATCTGTAATTTATATTCTGTGCGGACACTCCAAACACAACAGCTTGAATGCTAAGTTCAGGACAGAGCGGGAATCTTTGCAGGACTGGAAGGAAACTGCTTCTAGCGGAAGACTTTAGAAGATGCTGCTTACAGGCGGGTACCTTCTTGAAAGCACACAAACCCCACTGTCTGGAATCCAAGCGAGGGCTTTTATTTCTTTTTTCTCTCCCCCAGATGTTCTTTATTTAAGCCATGGCCCCTTTTATTCCAGATGCCTTCTCCACCGAACACCCCTCTTTCACAGGCACACCACTTCCATCACATTCCTCAGAAGAGAAATCACGGAGGCCAGACCACATCCCTCACTCTGAAGAAATCCACTTTGGCAACCCTGTTCAAGCCAGGGCCTCTTCTTGCCTGCTGTTCAATTTTAAGAGAGTCACTTGCTTAAAATTAGAGTCACTTGCAAGCAACTTGGGAGGTGGGGGTGGCAGGGGGAGGAAGAGCCTTTCTTTAAGGCCTAAACATCAGGAGGGAAAGTTTGGGGGGGGAGGGATGGGACGAAAGGGCGGGGGAACCCACTTGCAGAGAGCGGCAAAGCTTGATTTAAGTGAGCAGCCTGGCAGTCTTAATGAAAAGCAGCCCTTCCCCTACCACTAGTATTCTAGTCTCTTTGTTTGCATTTGCCCTGGTTACCCACTTTCGACCTCTTCAGTAGTCTCTACTCGGTTCTCTCACAAACAAGGCGTCCTCCCCCTCTTTCCCCTGCTCACCCCCCTGCTGCGTTGCATTCCTCCATTTCACTAGCAAGGGGGAAAACATGAGCCGCTGCAAAGGCTTAAGCAGAGAAAGGAGTTTTGGGGAGGAGGGGGGCCATGGCGGAGGGAAGGAGGGAGATGGAAAAGGGAGAGATGGGCAAGCGGGCAGGCAGTCCCTCTTCAAGTTATGACGGCAAACAGCATGACTGAAGTTCTAGGCCTCTGCCTCAAGCTGACCTTTGCAGGAGGCCACGCTGCAAAAGAGTCAGGTATTTAAGCACAGCTGGGATCGCATTCTTTTCTGAAGCACACAAAGATATTTCAGTGGGAAGATCAAGACATTCAAAAGATGATGGGGGGTAGAGAGAAAGAACTGTGGATAGCAAAGGATGACAGAAGAACAAAAAGAAAGTTAGATCTTTGAGATAGATCAGTCCCATATGTTTCCAACTGAAAGCAGGAAAAGCAGGGGGTGGAGAAGAAGAATCCAACTATGATACCAAAATATGTCCCATTACTACTGCTAGTAATATTGAGAAGCCACCCTTTCCTACTGAGGAAACTGAAATTGTAGTATTCAAGTGATACCCTTAAGGGCCTGAAAGGCACCTGATCCTATCTGATCCTGGAAGGGAAATTAGGTCCACCCTGATTAGTACTTGGATGGGAGACCACCAACAAATACCTGCAGGTTATCTTTCAGAGGGAGAAACTGGCAAAACCACCTCTGAGTACTCCTTGCCTAAGGAAACCCTATGAAAATTCATGGGGTTGCCAAAAGTCAAAAGCAACGTAAAGACATATACACACACACATACACATAATGCCGTTCTTTAGAGCAGGGGTCCTCAAACTAAGGCCCGAGGGCCAGATACGGCCCTCCAAGGTAATTTACCCGGCCCTTACTCAGGGTCAACCTAAGTCTGAAACAAAAGCACACAAAAACAAC